AATGTAAGTATTCTTCTTCCTGTAAACACCTTTTACCTTTTTGCACTGGCGTGATACGTTTTCATATTTATTTAGGACCAATTGATGTTCAAGGCATCCATAAAATTTATTCGCATATTACCTGATTTTCTTGCTTTGCAACTGTTTGAGACTTGATATATCTGTGGACCTAACATTTCCTCTTTACTATAGGTTTCAGTTACTTGAGTAGTCAACAGTTGGTGAGGCTGTTGGATTGTGTTACAAAAACATCCCAACCATTGTAACGACTGCAATTAGCTAAATAGTGTGATTCATTTAAAAGGCATTTGCGTAGAGTTATGGTTGCATGTGTATTTCATTTGGCTTGAAGTAATTGCATTTGTGTGTACCCATGTTTTCAATTTTGGTAATAAGCAGGCACATGTTAAGGGGAAATGGTGACATTTTTTTTCTGAAAATGGGAACGACAGACTACCAAACCTTCCCTTATTCAATCATTGGTCATTGTTATCATCTTACCTCCAATATCTGTTGATCCAGCCTTAAGCTTAAAAAACTGTAAATTAAACTTTTGTTATATGTGTCGTATCTCTGTCATTTGTGTGTACCCATGTTTTTGCCTTAGTATTTGCATAAAGTCTCCTCGTATTCATGAAATAGTTATTATGTTGGTTTTATTTTAACATCTAGCAAGTGTGATTACTTGTGCATAGATTTCTATGTTCTCGTTAGTGAATTGGTGTTATTCAATTATATTTATAAAAATTGATAGTCTCTTTTACATTCTTTGACTCATCACCAACACGTGAATGTCAATTGATCACTTCCAGTAAATTAGCTCTTGAGACTTAGATCAGTTCTAAGTTATGCATGTTCATTTATAAGAGTTGGATGGATTTAGAGACTAATTAGTGATTGAAATAAAATTACGAGATGACAAAATATACATTTAGTGATTTACTAATTTTAATTTGCTTTAGGAAATGAATTTTGGGACCAATTGTTATCGTAATATTTGATATATTGGTGGTGAGTTTTACTTTGTCCTGATATGCTGTCAATTGTGAAATTAATATTAATATTAGCAATTAATATTGCATTTTCTTTTTATCTTGGTCAGTTGTTTACACAACATAGATAATCTATCTGATTAACCTCTCACTTTTTGGTTAAGTGTATCTTAACTTAGTGTAGAAAAACACCACCATCAAAGAAGCATCTCGCCGCAGTCGTACTCTTCCGGTCGTAACCTGTCAACCACCTGCAGGTATGTTTTCTCAAACATGTCCGCGAGAAGTTAGATAACATTTAAGCAGCAAAAGTATAACAATGGTGATGAGATTAATTAATCTATTAAATGGTGATATGTAACCTGAATTTGGGCAGCGGCAACTGCCTAAAATCACATTATAAGAATCATCGAGTTATCTAATCGAAACAACTAGATTTGGAAAGCTTTGTCTACCTATTATTCACAACAAAAATAAACAAATTTATTTATGTTGTATACCGAAGGTCGAGGTTGATACTGATCACGTGTTTAGATAAAACTATATAATTGAAGTTAATTAATTAATTAATTAGAGAATGATTATTATTTTCACATTATTGTATTTGGGATTTAAAGCAAGGATGGATTCAGTTTGCATGTCTTTTGGGACTCTAGCGATGACCCCACCCAGAGTTCATTGCACTCCTTTTTGTTATTTTAATTAACCTTAACCTTGCCATATATTATTAACTTCTAAAACATGGATTTATAGCACAAATAAAAACATATATTAGCATGTTTAAGGTCAAAGTGTTTGACTTGTTTAGGGCTGAACAATGTTCAAAGCCCAAAGAGAAAGGGTATTTGGTAAGGCCTATATAGATACACTTATATACTGGTATTGAATATTCAAATATGGGATTGGAGTTTGATCAGAACATTGTTGGCCCATGTAAGTGAGCTTTTGGTTTAATATTACCTGTATCAGATTAATCATATTTGAATTAATCATATTTGATACTGAAATTTTCAGTTTGGATTTTAAGTGATTTAGATATTATCATTATTATTTTAGATTCAAATCATATTTTAGTTTAAATACTCAAGTTTGAGCATCATATTTGATACTGAAAACACTTATTGAACAATAATTTATCATCTCAAACAAATTTCTTCAATGTTATCATGAACCTAAGTTTAAATATTAGGAAAATTTAATGCAGAAAGACACCACCATCAGATAAGCATCTCGCCGCAGTCGTACTCTTCTGGTCGTCACCTGTCAACCACCTGCAGATATGTTTTCTTGTCCATTGCACCTTACAGTTAATCTGCCAAATTACATTGATATAATAGGGATTGCCATATACAGATAAAAATAGTTAGCCAAATACTGTCTAAAACAGAAGCCTCTTTTATTTAACAAGACAAAAAAATAAAAGGTTCATTCATGAATATAAAATCAAATCTGCCCTAAACATAGTTCAAGTGTCATGTTTAAGTGTAGATTAATAATGTTGTAAGGACATGTTTCATAGTTTTGATGTTTATTGTGCCCCTTATATAGGTCCCTTATCCATACGAATGTATTAATTATATAATTTGTGAAATTAAATGTAATGATTATGTTAAGGTTTTATCTGCCTCTATAATATTAGCAATTAACATGTGAAATTTAAACTCTATAAATACGAAATGGATAAGAGTTTGATGGATTTCTCAAGGGTAAGCGTCGAATATCGAAATGGAGTCGAGAACTTTCTAAATTTAGCTTTTGTGAATGCAAGCCAAGAGAATATGATTCTTTGTCCTTATAAGAATTGTGTGAACATTAATTGGCACATTCGTGAAGTTGTGTACGAGCATCTAGTTGTTTTTGGATTTGTTCGGGTATAGAAAATGGAAAGGTATGATGTATTTTTCAAAAATAGTTGTAAAGAAATTTAAATCATCATTAAAAGTGGTTGTTTGACATTGTTGGACCGAGAGCATGTTTGTGTTGCTAGCAGGCAACAACAAAAGTTTATGCACACGGTTGGATCGAAGAGCTTTGCTTGTATAGCTCATGAGGAGGTATTATAGAATTTTGAAATAGTTTTTTGTATTCCATGTACATACTAACTCATAGTAATTACATTATGGTACATTGTAGGAAAATACATCCGGTTCTAAAGTTGGTCGAATCTAACTCTTCGACATGACACATACGAAGAAGGATGTCACTCCTATGACTGCTGACACTACAGAAATTATGGTATGTTTATTGGATAGATGCTTTAAATTTACCTGACTTTATTTATATTTGTACCATGACATTTTTTATTTTAATTAATTATAGGAAAAATTGAGGGAGAAAAGGGCGGAGTATCATGCTACTGCTTCGAGTCAAGGTATTGTTAACGATGATGACATTGAAAACCAAGCTATTAATGACGTTTTGGGTCCTGAAAGATATGGTCGGGTGCGCTGTCAAGGATCATTCGTTACTCCCACCAAATATTTTGGATCCAGTTCATCACAGTACATGTCATCACAGTACATGTCATCACAGTCTCAATCTTCCTAATTAGAAGTTGGTCGTTTAAAAGAAAAGTTGGCTAAGATGGATCAACAAATGGCTAACTTGAAAGCGGAAAATGAAGCAAGGGAAGCAGAGAGAGCAGCAGCGGAAGCAACCAGAGCAGCAGCGGAAACAGAGAGAGAAGCAATGGCAGCACAGAGAGAGGCAGCGGCAGCACAGAGAGAAACAACATATCAGCAGAGATGTGAAGAATTTGAAAAACGACTCAATGATATGATGATGATGATACAGAAAACGTAACCTCATAATCCACCATCGTAGCCTCATTTATGTTGTGAGCATTATGTTAATGTTACTGAACCGTGTTTAACTGAACTTATATTACGTTAATAAAAACTTTTATTTATTATATTGGATTTGATGTTGCTTGTTATGGATATAGAGTTTGATGTTATTGTTGTTTTGTTTGTTGGATAATGGAGCAGGTTGTAAAAACAGATTTGGGGTATTAAGCATAATTTTTAGAACTGTTAAATTATGTATTATTTAGCGGCGTTTGTAACAAAAAATGCCGCAATATACCACATATTTAGCGGCGTTTGTATCCTAAAAACGCCGCTATATACCGCACCTATTGCGGCGTTTGCGATAAAAACGCCGCTAAATATCAACATCTACTGCGGCGTTTGTGGGAAAAACGCCGCTAAACATCAACACCTACTACGACGTTTGTGGGAAAAATGCCGCTAAACATCAACACCTATTGATGCGTTTGTTGAACAAACGCCGCTATATGGCATCATCTATGCCGCGAACTTTAGCGGTGCTATTTTTAGCGGTGCTTTTTGCGGTGTTTTTCATAACGCCGCAGGTATTTTTAGCATCGCTTAAAAGCGCCGCTATAAGTAAAAAGAACGCCGCAAAAAACCAGTTTTGTTGCAGAAATTTTTTAACAATGAACGCATAGACTCTTGACATGTGATGCTGAAACTCGAAATTTTAAAAAATAACAACAAATCGCTTAATTGCCGAAGTTACGTGCTTCGTGCAGTTAACTTGAAAGCTATCATTTTGACTATCATGTTTTCTTCCACGCACAACCCACTAGACACAATATTAAATATTCCGTATGATAACAATTAAATTGAAAGACATAAATTATATTTAAATGTTTTATATTATGTACGAACCAAACAATTTTAATAGTTAAGAAATTATTTTATTCATTAAGATCCTGAATATGAGCACCATGTATACGGAATAAGTGTTCAATGCCAGAGGTTGAAAATCTTTAAACATAATTTATCTTATACTCACCCTAAATTAATTAAAAATATATTTTACACTTTAATTATTAATTAATTGAAAATTTAATTTTTAATCTCCATAATCAACACATGAACAATCCCTTCTTTTCCATAAATAAACTATTTCTTATTCTCTCATAAAAAGGTTTATTAGTATCTAAACGAAATGTTGTATCTAACCGAAATATGGTCCAGATTGTTTCAAATTGTAAGGCATTTTGCAAAGGATAATTGAAATCCCTCGTAAGAAACAAATCAGTCATCAATATAAATTTATATGTTACATTTTCACCTGGAACCTGCTCTATATTTTAATCCAACCTACCACTTCCACTGCCAAGAATAATTTTACCCATTTGAGCAGCTCATCTTTCTCCCTGTCCTGGGGAACTCTGTCTTGTTTGTTAAACTACCATCGAATCGCTTGCCGAAGCTTTAGCTCCGTGGTCGGTCATGTTGGCACCGCTCTTCCCTGTTAATTATGATGAGAACTCGTTAGCTGAGTTTTTACCAGGTTAAAATCAAAGATCCAATGGAGTACCAATTAATCTCTTACATTTTCCAGCTTGGCCTGAAAAGCGAGTTCCACTTCCTTGCGGAGGCTTTCAACATCTATAGCGTATTCTCTATGATCTTCCTCCAGTTGCTTCTTCATCCTCTCCAACGCTTCCCCCAATCTGCAAAACTCCTCGAAAACCATTGCTTCCGTTGTTTTCAGTTGCAGCAGATTCTTAATTGCAACCAGCGCCTGTAAACTCGGGGGTAGATGCAGCATAAATCAATGAAAAGGAATACCCGTCATCACATCAACAGTTGTTCATATATGTACGCCAGAAAAGATGAAAATGAGGCTAAAGAAACTACCTTCTCCTGGAGATCAAGGTCACCGGATGCAGTTAGATCAACCACAGACTTCAAGAGCAAACTATTGCTGAAAAACAGCATCTCAGCTTTATCTGTATTTTCTAACTGGCACTCAGCCAGATCACCAACCAGAAACACAGCCTTCCTGCGTAACCTAATATCCACGCTGGGATTGCTCAATATGTCCTACAGAGGAAAATTGTTGTCAATTGCAATTGTAGGGGTGCATTAAAAAGGGGAAAATGCTAAATTCAATCTTAGATCACCTGAAGCATCTTGTCTCCAGCCTCCATAAAGAACAATTGCTGACCACCCACATTATTTCGGATCAAGGCTGAAACAGCATAAAATGCTTTAGTGGCTTCATCGGCGGAACTAGAATTCACCATTTTCATTAGTGTTGCCAACGCCCCAATTTCCAGGACCTACGACACGTAAAACTTTGTAAGTTTGTTGATGTTATATACCTCGCTAACAAGTCAAGCGTAATATGACTTACCTGCTTCTGAACATATGGATTGTTTTGACTTGCTTTCCCAAGTATCCATGCAGAAAGTTTCCTTACATCGGAGTCGGAATGATCAAGCTCCCGTGTAATCACACCAAGCCCACCAAGTTTACACATATCTGACAAGCAAAACCTTAACAATGTGAGCCCAATCTCTTTAAGACATAAAAAAGAAACCTAGACGAAAAATCAGAGCTATCAAACAAAAGATTCTAGCAAGCAAAACAGCATAAATATTTATAACTAAGCCAAAAAACCTGCAAAGGTTACAATCATATCCCTAAGATCTAAAATAAATTTGTACGTATCTCAGTCCCGTAACTGGTATATTTTCATTCTCCACTAGTCGGGGAAATTTTTGAAAAATTCAAGCAAAGAAATTGACTGTGAATAACTTCAAAAGTGGCAGAAGCATCTTCCACAAAGCAACATACCCCTCATTTTGCAGACTAAAACTTGCAGCAACCCTAGAATAAATAGCTCTACAACTATGATTGCTAGTTTTCTTTTCCATCATCAATTTGCCATTTTTGTGGCCTCAATCATTATTTGCGTTTTTTCTAAATACTGTTAATAGTACCATATCGTATCAAAGTTTCACAACAAAAGACCAAACAAATAAAACCTAATATGGAAAAATTAAGTAAAGCTCAGTAATTTGCCGGTCTTAGCCACATGAAGGCCACATTGCAACTTGTGAGAATATTGTAAATATTATAGTCCTCCTTTTGGAGAAGGGGTTAAATCTTACAAAAGTTTGAATAACTATCATTCAGGTTCAGTTAATAGCAACAAAGTGAAGAAATGAAACTCGGCAACAACATTCATATAAAGATAAAAGCATCTTTAAATTTCTAAAATTTTGCATGTAAATAGATACTCATGTCAATAATACAGATGTTCAAAGCTAAACAAATATTGTGGAAATAATTTGGAAAGAAATGGATAGATATCAATTCTTCAAGGTGCCAATTAAACCAGCTATGGGCAAACATTGCTTACCATTTGCATTATCGATTGGCTCAACAAGTATCAAAAGCTCTTGCAAAGCACGGTGGCGATCCTCCAAAGACAAAGATGAATTACTCAAGTCATCTAATGCAATTTGCATCAACTGTGCATCTGATGGCATTTTTAACTTTTCCATCAGTTCCTGTGCAACAAAATGAATCGAGCCATGGAACATTATGCATATCACAAAGAAGCAAAATGAATGTATAAGCTGCAAGCTACTGCAATTTATATCATGTTAATAGAAAGTAGCACACTGTCATTCCTTGCACGTTGAAATATGTGTCATTAACACATCGTTTAAGTTTCCTTTCAAGACGTTTTTGACTCAGTTGATTCCATTCAAACTATGCATCGCAATATAATAAAATAGATTGGCAATAAAGCAAAAACCTTTATTTCCAACTGACGCTGCCTAAGCTCCGAGGGAGAAAGACGTTTAACATCTTGCGCCTTTTCCTTAAGTTTGGCCGGATCAGAATGTCCTGATTCATAGAAAACAATAGGAATAACGATTTATCCCTCTTGATAGTTAAAACGTCAGGAATATGGAAGAAATTCAACAAACCTATGGCCCACTGCAACATCCCATCTAGGGAAGAAAATCCACCGTCAATGTCATCGGCGGTGGCGGTGGCGTCTCCAGACTTATGAACCAGATCCCCTCCCTCTTTGGCGGTCGACCAAAACAGCCCTGCAGAAGAGGACTGGTTTTCGTGCTCAACCGAAGTCGCCACCACTGCCGTCACCGCAAACAACAATAATAATGTTGATACAATAGCTGAAATCCGAGCCATATCTATCCTTGACCTAATTTCGTGACTGCAGAATAAACTGATCTTCTCACTAGCAAACAACTCTCCTCCGTCTAGGGCTGAGCTTAAGCCTAGAGGTTTCTTTTGATTTTACTATTATTCTTTATTTGGAAGACAACGGTAGACTGTTTGCATATACTGGGACTTGACATTTCCAGCTTATATATATATATATATATATATATATATATATATATATATATATATATATATATATATATATATATATATATATATATATATATATATGCAAGTGAAGTCGGTGTTATGATGTTACATGACCAATAGAAATTTGCCATATCAGCCATAAAAATAAATACACTATTAAGACTATTTGTGCATATTTCATCGGGAAAAAAGAAAAGATATATATATATATATATATATATATATATATATCTATATCTTAAATATACAAAAAAATGTTTAATCTATTTTTATTTTTTTAGTTTAGTGTCTAATGTTTATTTCGTTCTACCTTGAAGTATGACGTTTCATTCCGTTACTCAAAATGGGTCAAGCCGTGACAGACTGTTAGTTTTCTCCGTTAAGTGTCACGTGTCACAATATCATAATTTTGAAATTTATGTTTTTAATATTATTATATTTATAAAAAAATCTCTTATTTCTTTTAAATTAAAAACCCTCAAAATCTCTAAAATCCCCAAGTCCTAACACTAACTTATCGCCACCGCCCTTTTCGACCACAATCACCACTGCCGATGTAATCCTTGTCATTATTCTAGTTATAAGTCGTAGTTGTCGTTGATTGGCCGTCAAAATCACTTGGGATTACGATTTTTATCCTAGGGTTCGCGAAGTATAAAACATCGATTCGTCGTCAATTAACTGTTGATTAGTCACGATTTTATAGGGGTTTTGGTCGTCGAGGGATGTGAGGTCGGGTGGAGCGTCGTTGACGACAAAGGGCGATGATCTACATGAGTTTAAGGGTTGAAATGAAAATTTTCAAAGTTTTGTGGTTATTCCGAAATTTATGTGTTTTCTGTTTTAAATATATATAATTTTATTTTTTATATAAATTTTTTAAAATTATCAGATTGTGACACGTGTTACTTAACGAAGAAAACTAACTATCTGTCACATCTTGACCCGTTTTGAGTAACATAATGAAACGTTAGACACTAAACTGGAACGAAATAAACGTTAGACACTAAAATAAAATAAAAAAAAAGACAGATTGGGCACTTTTGTGTGTGTGTATATATATATTTGTGCTCATAATTACTATCTAAAAAAATCGAGTACGAGTTTCGATTTGATTTAATTTTGTTAGATTAAATTTTAAGAAATACATTCAAATAGGATTCAAATTTTTAAAAGATAACATTGAATATAGTTTCATCGTATTTAGGGTTATGAAAACTAGAGATGAAAACAACATAGAAAGAATCAAATAACAACAACAACAAAACTTTATTTCCATATGTAATGAGATAAGGGGAGGTAGGACAGTAGGTTACCCCCAACGCCAGGTTGATAGCAGCTTCCGTAGAACATAGAAAATCAAAGTTTCATCTTATTAAACGGTGTGGGAATGTCTTATTGAGGTGATGAGTTTGGAGGCATTAATGCTCAGTTGGGAAAACCATGTTGAAGGACATGTGGCCAACTGTGGATATTACGGTATAGTTTTAGCAGAATAATGAAGAATTTGCAATTATCATATACTTAATATGAGATCAATGTGAAACAAATTCATCGCGCACACCCCATATTGTTAAGACATTATCATAAACGTTCATAGAATCTATTTGCAACAATCAATTGATCAAAATTTCATTTTTTACAAGAGGATTAACAATAAATTAGCCAGGGTCAGCCTGCTAAGCCATAATGAGTCCAAGTATATCAGTGTTATTAAAGACGAACCATCGCATAATTTAATATTAAAAAATAAATTATAAGATTTTAAAGATGAAAATAAATTCTAACTATATATATATATAAATTCTATAGGACGATTGTCTCTTAATACACTCTATTTGTCACTGCTTAACTCGATCAAAAGTCAATCAACACTAAATTAAAATAAACTCGATTCAAATTCATTACGAGACAAAACAAACTACTTCATACCTCACTCGAAAAATTCACGATAACTCAAAAAAATAATATATTAAAATTTTAAATATTTAAATAAATTATTAATGATATTGGTATTTATATATATATTTTAAAATAAAATATAAGATTTTTATGTACTTAAAATTTAAGTTCGAGTTTGAATTTCAAATAAGTTAAGTCTAAAAATATTTTTGAATTAATATTTTCAAGTTTTTAATTTTTAATTTTTAATTGAAGTAAAGTGTGAAATTATTGTTATTATATGAAAGCAGTCTCACGCCTTGACCTTCCATTGTAGAAGCCACGAGATCTTCTGTAACTCTTTAGACTCAGCATATACGTTACGACTAGATCTAGCGGATTACATTGAAATTTCCAAAACATTCTTTAACACTTTAAAATCATGGTATTACCCAAATCAGTAAGATAAGCGTAAAATATCACGATAAATACCAATTCGTAATTAACCATAATCAAAGTAATTCGTACTACATCATTAAACTAATAAATGTTAGAAAACATGTCATTCAAAATATAGGCACATGTCACCAAATAAAGACAGTCTGAAAGATAGAAACATTACAACAAAAAGATATTGTAGGTGTTATGTCGCTACTCTAAGTGCCAAGTCAGGGGTGTTTATCCAAACCGAAAGAGAAAAAGGTTGAGGAGTGAGCTAGGGAGCTCAATGAGATTCAATAGTGCAAATAAACGTCATAGAAAAGTATTCAAAAAATAATTCAGTAAAGTATCATAAAGTAACAGTGAGGTTTATATTTTTAAAATTCATATTTACCTTCATCCCGTACACCGAAATGCAGTCCTCTTGAACTGCATCCATAAGGACTTACCCTATACTCATTGGTATAAAAGCCAACCTAAGGGAACGCCTTGGGCCACAAGGACTTACCCTAGTTGAAGCGTAGAAGCCCACCTAAATAGAGTACCCCATGCCATAAGGTACTACCCAATACAAAAAACAGAGGAGTCACCCTAAGATAGTACCTTAGGGTCCATACAACCTTACCCTAGACCTAGTAAGCCCACTGAGCCTAGGAGCCCACCCAAGGGTCATATAAGGTCCATAATGATTTATCATCTTGATCAGAACTGTACCTCAGAAACTCCGGGTAACATCCCCAAAGTACCTTACTAAAAAGTTCATAAATTATCACAATAAATTGTAAAGTAGACATAATCATTTTTCAGTAAAACTAGTAATCATAAAACATGTATAAGGCAAAATGTTTTATGATCAGTAAAACATGAATCAAAATTTAAAATCAAATAATTCATTCATATTTCATAATAGAAAGAACAATCATATCGTGCATAAGAAACACACCTCGTAAAATGGGATCAGTCAAGGAGTCTACTGAGCACCTATCTCGCCACGCTTTATAGCAGTGCTCGAACCCAAATCATAATAAAACATAATTACTATTGAAATAATATTTTAATCTAAGTATTTATAGGGTTCATGGGTCATATGAATAATCACTGGCTCACAGGGTCGAACGGATCAAGAGGAGCTGAGTCGAGTTATCGAACAGTCGAAAGAGTCACGGGTACCTTCTATAAACAATATCTTAAATCAGTCATTGACTTTAATTTAATTATTCTTAAATAAAATACTTAAATACATATGCATATTCGAGTTTAAAGGTTCATTCGAAGGTTTTCAGGTTTGAATTTGACAAAATAGACTTCAAATTCAGACTAAAGACGTCGAATAATATAACTTTTTGCTCAAAGTTAATATTGGTTAAGGTCAAAGTCAACGGTCAATGGGTTGACTCAATTCGAGTTGGTTCATATCGGTTAGATCTAAACAAACTAGTTCTAGAGGCTTTATGGGCTGGCTGATAAGCCCCATCCGCGCTGACGGCGAGTGTGGCGGCCAAACCTTCGATGGAGGCTGCCTGACTATCCCTGAAACATCTCAACACAATAAACCCACTACAAGCCATTAATCAACCAAATCAACGATGAATCAACTGAAAAAACGTTCGAAAATTACCTCTAATGATGGACGACAACGGCACGACGATGGTGGGCGTCGATCACCTGAGTTTTGTTCGCAAGTCGCCGATGAAGCTGATGGGAGTGGTGGTGTGCTGCAACGCCGATTGGATTGACCAAAAAATGATGAAAACAGCGGCGACCAATGGTTTTCCTCATTGTACGTTCGGGCGTCGATTCGCAATGAACTACGAAGTTACTCGATCCAAAACCAAAGGGTTATTGGTCGGAGAGCGACGACGATCACGATGACCGGGCGATAGTGGATTGGTGAAAGGGCTGACAGGTAAGTTTAAGGATTTGGTGGTTTAATTTGGGAGTTCGGTTTTCAAATCTGAAATGGAGGATTGGTTTTTGGGATATTAAAACGGGTTGGATAACTTTAAAACAAATCTGAAAGTGAGGTGACGAATTTGGGAAATATTATTTATATTATGAGTTAGATCATAAGCCAACAAAATAGAAATAATAAATTATACTCTTTCTATCCTATAATTTATGTTTTATATTAATTATGCACATACTCTTAGAATATATAAGATCAAAGAAAATGACAAATATATTTTTGTAAAGTGATTAATAAATTTATTTTCATATGCACAAAATTTTTAAAAATATATAAATGATATTGTTTTGTCAATTTTTCTAATAATACATTTTGAAATAGACAAATTTAAAAATTAAAATAAATACATTTAATAAGATGAAGAGAGTAATAAAAATATTTTGTGCTCAACAAATCCTTTTGTGATAATATCTCTGATACAGTATTCCATTTTTAAAATGAAAATATTGGATGAACCAATAATGTAAAATAAATAAATATAATTATTATATAAATCAAGTGAGTTCAATGATTAAAAGATTGAATAGCTCTCTCATAACAAAATAAGTTCCCAACATGAAAACATTCGGCAAAGGCTAAAACTTTTAGATTGAAGTTCGATCATTGAGAGCGGATGCTAAAGAAACGTACAGATAATAACAAAGAAAACAGAAATAGTTCAAATAAGAAACGGAGCGACGAATCATATTGCCCAAGCGCTTCGAAGTAAGAACTCCGAGACAGTGCTTCAAATCTGAACGACATTAAGAGAGAAACAGATCAGACCTGAGCAGCGAAACGTTGGGGAATGATCCGAAGATAGAAGATAATCTTTCACTGCTGAGATGATCTTTATAGTGCTCCCTTCAAACCCTAGATATCGTCTATTCGGTAAAAGTTATGGATCGTGTAACGGGCTTGAGTAAAATAATTGATCCGTATACAAAAATGGATGCCACTTGGGCTCTAGCCCTTGAAGAGTTTAAGTTTATCCACCACAATTTTTTAATTTTATAATATTTTCTAGGGTGAATTGTATGTTTGGTATTCTCTTATTTTTGGTTTTTTAGTAATCAACTCTTTTTCAACTATAATATTAAAATTCATCGATAATGTTTGATAAAATACTCATTTTAATAATAACTTGAAGTGATTACAAGGATAGTACTTGTTTTGAGTCTTTCTCAATCATAACACATGAACAATTTACAGACACAACTGTTCGAACACAATATCTCAAGAGAGAATAAAACCCTCTTAAAAGATATTATTTTTTATTTAGTACTTTGACCCTCAATATTTTATTTTATGATAAAATATCTTTAGTTAGATAAAAACTACTAGTTTACTAATTGTAGATGACGTGACAAGTCTTTATGTGTCCAAAACGATGACATTATATATTCTATGTCATCAATTTCAACACATGGTAATGTCATGTCATCACTTTGGAATAAAAAATTCACTTTATCACTTTAGACACGTGATATATGTCACGAATCAAAAATTTATGAGCTTAAAATTATCAAACTCGACTCAAATTTGAAATAAAAATTGAAGCTCGATTCGAATTGAAAGCTTGTGAGCTTAAAATTTTCAAACTTGACTCGAAATTAAAAATTGAAGCTTGACTTAAACTCGAAAAACTTAAACTCGAAATATTTTTATATTGCTTGATTGAAGTTCAAACTCAAGCTTGAACTTAAACGTTAACTACATAAAAATATTATATTGTATTTTTAATATATATATATATATATATATTAAATATATTATTATTTTATAATTGCTTGTAAGTTAATCGAATCGAATATTAAATAACTTATTTTAATTTGTTAAGAATTCAAACAACTTCATTTAATTTAAAAATTAATTAAATATATCTCAAATAATATGTCTGTCTCATTCACTATTCGATATATCTCTCATCTCATTTAGCCTATAATTCTATCTGTACTAAATTCCGAAATTTATTTACTAACTAATTTTCACATACCAGCGACCCCGAACACCCTTCCCCCTCCGCCTCTTGACTCAGATTTCTCCTATCTTTGTCGGCGCCGTTCAGACGGGATCCACCTTCCTTTCGTGGTCCTCAGTCAGCCAGCAACACCTGTTTCGTGCTTTTCAGCCCTCAAAGTTGCTCAGCTCAGCAGTGTTCTTGACCTTTCTTGCCGCCGCTCGCAACGACGGTAACTCTCTCTTTCTCTCTTATTTTGCAGTCACTTCCGAACGCCCAAGATTGAACGTAATACGCGTCTTTGATTGGGGCTAACATTTGAAAGTATTTGAGGCTTGAGCTCTTATGTTGAGTCTTAGACTGATCTCTTTATTGAATTTGATTGCCTAATGTTACCAATTAAATGTTATTGTTCAAATATTGTCTAATATTGTTTTCAAAAATTTTGAACCCATAGAATGAACCAGTGAAGGAATGGATCGAACAATTGCAACGACAGCTCCTTGTGCTTGCTTCTCTATTGCCAGCATTGGCTTCAAATTGAACCCTAAAGCCATTATAATCACCATGAAAGACAGAAGCAAGAACCGGAAGCCGCTGCAGAAAGGCAGGAACCTCAGCATCGAAGCAATTCAAGCGGTTCAATCCTTGAAGCGAGCCAACCGCAACAATTCATTTTCGGAATTGGAACGCGTCTTCAACTTCAAGTTTCGCCGCTTATTGAAGTTCGATATGATGGCCGTCCTCCGTGAACTCCTCCGCCAAAACGAATGTCTTTTGGCTCTCAAGGTTTCCTTCTCTTTTTTGATCTCAAATTTTGAAATCCATGTTTATATTTCCTCCAAAAAGTACCAATTTTGAAATCCATGAAATTGATACTTGGTTTGATATTTGATTGTAACCAAGGTGTTCGACGATATTCGTAAGGAGACATGGTACAAGCCTCGGTTGTTGATATACGCTGATATGCTATCAGTGTTCGCCAGCAATGGGTTGTTTAAGGAGGTTGAGCTTATTTACTCGTATCTGAAAACAGAAAGCTGTTTAGATCCTGATATTGTGGGATTCAATGCTGTATTGAATGCTTTGATTAGTTTTCAGCTCACGCACCTTGTGATGGATTGCTATGAATTGATGAAAGTTGTGGATTGCGAACCGGATAGATCGTCGTTTCGAATCCTCATTAAGGGTTTGGAATCGATAGGGGAAACTGGGTTTTCTGCGATTTTGAGACGGGATGCTCAGAAAATCTATGGTGAATCATTGGAGTTCTTGGAGGAAGAAGAAGAGGTCCCAGCTGTGGTTAAAAGAAGATATTAGGGTCATCAATTGTACATTTCAACGTTCTTCACTGCAATAGACTGTGATAACAACAGCCCTTTTATGTCTGCAATTGCATAAACATATTGTGGTGAACAACTATACATTTGTTAGGCTATAATCATGATACACATGCTATGATGAGCATTATATCATTTTATTGTTAAATATTATGCAAAAAATAATAATTTTAGTTCTTAAAATTTATACAACTTATTAATTTGGTCTTAATCTAAAACAATTCAATAATATTTTTTATATTTAAAAATTTTATCATTTTTTTATTTTTATTCTTACCCTAAATTATTTACTTTTTTTCTTAAAAATGTTACATTACTATCATGTTCTTTTCTTGGTATAATAACTCCTTGTCGCTTTTATGACATAATATAGTTATTTAACTATTGCTTTTATCTAGTTGTCACTTGGTTTTTCAATACTATTAAAAGACTAAATTGAAAGAAATTTTAAATATAAATCACCAAATTTACGGAACTATTTTAAAACAAGATAAAATTTATAGAATATATAAATTTTAAAGACTAAATATATTATTATATCATGTCACAACATATGTCCATTTTAATTTTAATCACCCAATAACATGTAATAATGTTTTAAAGGAATAAAATTTGTAATATTTAAAAGAAAAAAATTATTTACTATTAAACTTATAATTAAATAATCTTAAAAGAAGTTTATTATATTTTATAATCTAATTCGGTGAGAAATTTTCAATGAATTAGTCATGTGTCGCGTTTGTTGCGCCATATGATACTATGCAAAGTACTTGTAACTTTTTATTTACTTTCCATTGAAAATTTGAAACTTACATCTCCATAGCTAATGAGAAATTGTCATGTAACAGTGTTTGTTTGGTCAGCCATGTATGTATGCTACTCCTTACTGGAATAATCTCCTCAGATTCTGCATGAATCATCTCCTTCAATCCGCAATCAATTCTAGGAATAATCTTAAGCCAGCTTGTCATATCAGGCTCTAGAAATCATTTAAATTTATATATTGAAATTCATGATGGGACTATTTTGTTTTGTTTGGACAACAGGATTCGACCCATTTCTTAAGCCAGCTTAATTCTTTTACCTAAACCGACCACAACCCGAGTTACAATGGAACAGCTGGATTGATCCTTATGACACCAAATTACCAATTGTCCAATGAAAGTGACAGAGACAAAATCTAGCTCCCTGACGAGACGTAGGCCCATTGGCCTATGTTGTGTCCATTTCAATGATGCAGCGGCCATGACCAGATACATTGAGTGCCTTTAAGAAGCAAGAGAAGAAGAAATGAACAAAAGACCATATATGGATTTTTCCCCAAATAAACTTATCTTAAAATATATTTAGATTATTATTTGTCGAAATACATTAAATAATATCAAAACCCAAAATTTTATTTTGTTTAGATTTAATAAAAAAACTAAAATATCACAAGAAAAATATAAATTTGAATATTGAGAAATAAATGAGAGAAAACAAGAAGTTTATTCTCAACCAACAACATAACATTATACAAAAGTATCACTTCCCTTTTACCTTATTTGATCTACTACTACTACTACTTAATTCAATGCACCATGGACACATAAATAATAATAATACTAATAGTATTATAGGTTTAATATTATCATGAAAGAGGAAATGTTTGGAGTAATATTACATAAAATGAAATTCACATGAAATAAGAGTAGGCCACCGATGATGCAAGGCTAAAATACAAAGACGGATCATAAATGGTATTAGTAATGAATAAAAGGGGATTTTGATTTGATGACCCAAGAATCAAAGGTCCCTGTCTCTCTTGCACTCGGGTGGCATTGTGGGGTACCTCGACCTATCGTTGCAATAGTTGTAAATGGTGAACTTTTTGCGGACCCAACGTAGTCTCCGCCATTGGTAGGCGTCCAGGTCCCGGAACTCCTTCTGGTCCCACCATCTCTTGCCCTGTGTGGCGCAGAACTTGGCTTCCACTGACGACTCGCAACCGTCGATGTGGAAACCCTTGTAGGAGGCGATGAATGGAGCTTTCGACCAGTCGGTCTTCTCCAGGCCACCCCTCGTGGCCCAGTCATCAGCGTTCCAGAGGCTCGAGTATATCTTCATTGGCTGGTTGAATGGGAATCTCACTCCCAGATCCTTGCTGTTTTTGAACACTCTTATTGGTATGTCGTCCACAAAGAAGCTGAAATGATTTTAACCATTTTTTTAAACTGTATTCGACTTGAAATAAACACCCAAATCGAGAGAGAGAAAAACGAAATACTTACACAATCTGATACAAGTTCCATAGAACAGAGTAGGAATGGTAGGCTTTGGTCGGATCAAACCAAAGATAAATCCTTTGTTCTCTGTCTCCTTTGCCACCGGTGAACACATTGGTCTGAAGAATATACGGCTGTCCTGTTCTGTTCCCCAGGAACTCATAATCTATCTCGTCATGTTCTGAATTTTGAGAAGACAACTGAAACATATCCAACAACAAATCGTTAAAACTCAGATGGGAAAAACATATTCAACACAGGGACATCAAGTTCTGTTTTTTTATTTTTTTCACTGACATAAAAGGCAGTGACAGTTCCGGCAGAATCACCGGGCACAAGCTTCATTTGCATACTGAAATGCCCGAACAAGTAAGATCCTTTGGACTGGAAACCAGTACCTTTTCACAATGAGAAACACAAACTGTCGTTAGATGAAAACACTACTGTAACTCTGTAAGAGAAAAACATCCATGGGATTTGTTCATACCAGTGTATTTGTCGAGGTGGAGTTGAATGTCGGAGCCGCCATTAAAGTACTTGATGTGATCAAAAGCCCAAGTGGGCATATAGTTTCTGGGGAATGGGACGGCTACAGGCTTCCTAGGGGGAGCTCCCATTGTTGTGGAGGCCATAAACAACATTCCCAGCAGCAGAATCCATTGTGGTGAAGCCATGTTTTTTCCCTGTACAGCATGTAACAAACATTCAGATACTGTAATAATAACCAACGGGGTCTGAGAAAAAAAGACATTCTGGCTGTTAAATGGGGGGGGGGGAGGATTTCAGAGAGAAATGTTCCAGAGCATTACCAGAACGAGAGGGGAAATGAACGAGGTGGTTTGAGGAATGAGGAAAACTAAAGCAGGGGTGAGGCTTTATGTACACTTTGATTTCAATGCTAACTTCAAATATAAAATTAAATATATTTTTATTATATGTTTCCAACTAATATTATTTGAAGATTATATGTTCTAAATCTCAATATATTTTGGATATATCCCTTTAAATTATTAAAGTGTATAAACTAATCAATTAAAAATAAAATATAATCGTATAAAGAATTGAATAAAATTCAATCAAATAATTAAAAATAATAACATTTTAAAATACATACAATCTAAAAAATTATATTTTGTCAAACTTTTAATTGCACTCATTTTCATATTTTTTAATCTTATTACCAAAAAAAGGGGTAAAATCTTCTGTCAAACCCTAGTGAAAAAGATATCGTACTCTCAATATTCAAAATTTTAAAATAATATTATTAAATAAATATTATATATATATATTTGGAAAAACTAGAGCAAAATTAACCTCAGGCTGTGTGGCAAAGGACCTAGATTTACGTGTGTCGTGAAAAGTAATTTGAACCAGCTTGGTTGGAATTTAGTGTTCCAAAACTAAAGGACGTGGAAAGTTGAGAATGAAAACAGTAAGAAATAATTACCGGTACGTGTGTGGTTGCTATTATGGTCCTCCTGGAGATGTGTTGTCAGCCATTGTTGAGTGTTGACGTTCTTCCCTTTCTCTGTCTCTTTTTACCCTATTAAAATAATTCACTGTTCTCATTCCCACAGCAACCATCTGTATGCCATAATCATCGTCACCGTGGTTTGATTTGATTTGATTTTCCCGGTTTCGTGTTTTGTCTTTGGGTTTGAATTATTAGTGGCTGTTGTGGATCCAGCTAATTACTGAAACAGTAATAATTGTTGGAGTAAATTGTAGATGGAAAGCTTTTCTTTTGATCTTTTTCCTCTCTCACCGCGTCTCTTCTGGCTCCATATCAACCAACCACTCCATTAATGTTTGGTTATGCTACAAATATACAAGGACGAAATAAAGATCAAATATTAAAGGATTAAAATTATTTTATAATAAAAACATAAGAAATTATTAAATATTTAAACTAAAAAATTATATGAGATCGAAAATTTTATTTAACTAATATTTAAATTAAAAATAACTTACAATGTTATTGTATTAAAAATTTTAAAAGGGATAACAGTCATTATAAAATAACTATATAAAGATGAACATGAGTAGAATCATATTAAGTTTTTATTAATTTTGAATTTAATTTTTTTTTTCAATTTAATGTATATTGTATTTTTGGATAATTTTTTCAAGAATTAAAGATGTCATTCAAAAACTATCACTAATATCTTATATTATAAAACTTTTGAAATAATAATAATCTTATGTATGACTGTCAAGGGGCTAGAATTTCAACAAGCGAATATGTACGGCCTTAGATGCTTTCTCGTATTGAAGTGGCACTTAATTATCTTTAACCACGTCTAAGTTAGAAATCAGCTCACTAAGCGACAATCAAACCTACCAAGGGTTAACAAAGATTCAGAAGCTAACACACTTAAGGCTCTTCAAAACCAACAAGATTAAACAACTATTGTGGAAAGTAAACATTGTCGGGGCTATATAGCCACGAAGAGAGACAACAAAACACAAAGGCTTTACGGACAAAAGACAAACACTGATTTAAAAAGCTAAGTGTCGGAAACAAAGCTAATAAAGCTAACTCCATCGGAAGTAAGATAAGAAACTTCGAAAACAAATGAAACAAATTGTAAAAGTTCAGAATTTAATGACTAAAACAGAATAATTGAATAATATTGTAATTTGGTATAGGGTTAAATTGCAAATAAGAAAGAATAGAAGGATATAATGATCTTTTGCAAGGAAAAATAATTAAAGAATGGATTTATCTATTAGCTCCACGTGGAAGAGAAGAAAGAAAAACAAGGTTCCAGAGTTCTCTTCTTTTCTCCTAAACGTGAAGAGGTCAAAACAAAGGTGAGATTTTTCATGAGTTAATTGTCTGCTGAAATTTAAGTTTTGTTTTGATCCTTAGAATTTAATTAAGCTTAAGGAAAGCTTAATTTGCTTTAAAACAACAAGATGAAGGGTATAGGAATAATTAAAGATTAGGAGTTATTGAATGAAATTTTGAAATAGAGTTCATATTGAAAATCAGAGGTTGAATTTGACTTGTCATCGACTTAATTAAGACATACGAAGTGTTAAAATTAGATTTAGAACATGTTGGAAATTGAGGTAGATTTTTAAAATCTATGTGGAGGATTGGATTTTTTAAGTTTAAGAGGTATTGAATGGGTATTAATTAGTTTAAGTAGGTATATGCAAGTTAAGGATATAAAAAGATGGGAAATATAAAGTGTTGAGAAGATTATGAAGAGATTTTCGTGCTAAAATAACATTTCTAGGCTATGTGCATCGATGCACATTCAATGTGTGTCGATGCATCAAGGGTAAAAACCCATAAATTGTTCAATGTGCATCGATGCACATGAAGTGTATCAATGTACTCCTTTAAAATAAAAACATTGAATGTCATCAGTGTATCGATGCACAAGTGGTGCATCGATGCACCCCCTAAAATACAAACATCGAATAGGATTTATGTACCGATGCATAGTTAGTGCATCGATGCACCCGTTAAGGGATGCATCGATACATGGTGTAGTGTATCGATGCATACCTTCATTAAAAGATAAAAATGGTGCATTGATACATGGTGTAGTGCATCGATGCATACCTTCATTAAAAGATAAAAATAGCTTTCTTTTTAGCCTAAGGAGTGATAGTTTAGAATATATTAATTAGTATACTTATTAGTACCAATGTATTACTATGTATATATAGAACGTAATTTCGTTCCGGAACAAACAAAGGAATATGATCAAGTCAAAACAAACAAGGCCAATGTGAGTGCATATCCTAGATGAAATGGAATTGAGATAAGACTTGCAATAAGTCTATCTCTTATCATTGAATTTATGATTCTATATTCATGCACATGCATACATATGTAAATGTTAACGTTATAGTGATTCCATGCATTTTTCATTCATGATTAACATGATATTATATGAATGAATGCCATTATCAGAGAATTCTTCCAGGTATGTGAAATAATGAAAATGATCATATGAAGTGACTTATGTGTTTACATGGACAGTGATGAAAGAGATATGAAATGAGAAATGTATTTATAATGAAGCCCATGTTATTTAATATGAGAATTGCAGGTATAATTGGCATGCCAAGAGTCGAGGGATTGTCAGTGGTCCTTCGGGACATAGTGGTTCTTCAGAACAATCGGTGGTCATTCGGGACGTAGTGGTCATTCAGGACAAATATTCAGTGCCCCTTGAGGGAATTATATAAGCTGTGTAGACATCATAGTGCACAACATCTATGTACTCACATCCCATTGTTCTCAATAATGTACATGGGCAATCCAAAGATAAATTAAAGTGAAATTAGCATAAAAATATATGTTTTATATGTGCATGTTATCATCATATATGTTATAGTGTAATAAATATATGCAAGTCCAAATGTTATGATCAATGGTAAGAATGCATGTTCATAAATTCATTGTTATACATGTGTATACATATATTTATGTTATGCCTCACTAAGTTTGTGACTTAGCGTGTAAGTGATTTACACATAGGTACCAGGAATCGAGAAGAACAGAAATAGGAGTGGCAAGAACATCAACACTGCTAAAAGATCATATCAGAAGTAACTGATAAAGTAGGTATTTTGTTGTGTATAGTGTGTTGGCATGTAAGAAAAGTGTTAATTACAAAAGTTCTGATCAGTTTTGTCTTGTTTTGGTTAACTTGTGTAAAGTAACAATGTTATTTTAATGAAAGTTTTAAATTTCCTTGGTTTTTTGTCAAGAGTCAAGGTTTGAAAAGTAAATGTGACACCTCAGACTCGTATCCGGGTCGGATATAGGTTGAGGGTATTACAAAGTCACAATAAACAAATCGAAAATAGAGAAACTTAGAGTAAATGTTTAAGTTGTATTACTCTAAAGAGAATGAATGAATTGAATGATTACAAAAAAGTAGGGGAGACTCCTATTTATAGTTGAGCTCTCTCAGATCTAACGGTCTGGATTGAATTACATCAACGACCCAAATTGAAATAAAATCCTATCAAAATCTTATCTAAAGAATTCAAATTCAAACCAAACATTATCTATTTCAATTTAAGTATTTATCTCTTTAAATAATGAGATAATTATTTCTTTTGGAAACTTCCAAGGAACAAGCCAGGTCTGATGGTCTTGAGCAGGCCTGATATACCGTACAACTTCTCTACGGATATCTGTACATATATGTCTCGGTTTGAACTCCACGAGCCTCAACAATCGCCCTCACCGAACCTTGAAATACTCTCATCACTTTTATCTAAGACATCCTTGGACTTAATCATTCACAAAATAAACATTCTCCAAGAATTGGGCTAAATTAGTTTACCCTACCAATCCCAACTATGCGCAAAAAACCTCTTATGTGGTTGCATACATACAAGTCACGGATACAAATCCGTGGACCGTGACATTTTCCCTTATTGAAACTCGTGATACCCTCGTCGCACACTCGAACGAAATGGGACTTGATCTTTTTTAACACTCCTCAACGCCTCGGCTTATTGCAGTCCCCCCATATGAACTGTTCACCTTGGATTTTGCCGCCATATAAAATTCACAATCTTCAACATCTTCTCACACATCTCGCATGTAGGAAATTATTTCATACTTGTCTATATTTACTTTGAAATTGATCCACTCGATCTTCTAGAAAAGACACCAACCTTTGGCGAGTCTATGCTGAAAGTTATGGCAAAGGCTCCAACCTTTAGCCACTCCACGCTAAATTTATGGTAAAGGCTTCAACCTTTAACCGCTCCACACTGAAAGTTATGTTCATCTCGACCTATACTCACCAAACAATGTAAATTAGACTTCAAAAACACTAAGAATGTGTTGGAGATATACCTCTATTGATTTGACTTTGGTT